TGGTAAAAGTCTAGTATGTACTAAGGTGCCTAAACCTGAGTTTAAAGGAAGTTATAATGTAATGAAATAATGAATAATGTATGTCTTTCTATGGCCTTTTGTCCCCAAGGAATGGCTGCATAAACCTGGAGTAGAAATGCTGGAGCAGAAGACGGATACACTAATTGTATAAATCCGTACCTTTTGCCTAGTAGAGCTGGCAACAGAGAAAAGGGTATGGAAAAGAGAACAAATTGATACAGAAGAAAGGATAATCACTATTTTGAAAACTGAGGTAACAGACTTAAATAATAAAAACAAAGGAAGCAAACCCACTTATAAGCAGTATCAATCTCAGATATGCTACAGAATAAATTCAAATAAGATTTATTTAAGAGGATGTGGCTACTAAAGCAGTCATTATTATGTATTAGTAACTGGATGATGCTCATACCATTGTTTCAGCATCAGTTTTGCATCTCTTGGTTCTTTACACAATTCTCCCTGAAAAGATGAAAACAAAACATAATTTACTTTTTTTAAAAAAAAAACAACTAAAGGTAGCTGCTCACTCAAAAATGCACTCTGGTCTTAGTCTTAATAAATGTCCTTTTAACCAATATGACTTACTAAATAAATGGATATTCGGATAAGAGCTGCACATTTTGCAGTGTGATTTATGCTATTAACACAAGAAAAAGAATTTTAAAAAACAAACAAACAAACAAACTTTTAAAAATAACACTGGGTTTATAAACAAATAAAATTACTTGTGAATAAATAATACAAAATTTACTATATGGAGTTAATTTTTGAAGGCATTTATATATCTGAGGTGGAATTACTGAAAAGAACCCAAAGAAGGGAATATCTTTAATTTAAATCAAACTCTTCTTCTTTAAGGTAAAACCAGCAGAACTACTCTGACATTGTGATGAAGGATTTTCTAATACTGGGACTAAAACTGAATCTCAAAACAGTAGTTCGTCTAAAGAAAACAGTTTCAATAATCTTTTAAAGGGTGATTTTATTTTGCTTTATTATTCATCTCAGTTAATCCTTTTTATCAGTAATTTATTTTTAGTAATAAATGAAACTGTACTTTGAAAGACATCCTTATTTGTCTGCCCAGCACTGTCAAAGTTATGGATGCTGATGGCCAGGCCTGACCAGACACCAGTGATCCCCAACCAGTTCCAGAAAAGACCAAGCCACCTGCCTGGCTTCCCCTGGCTTTGGTCTTTTAGACTTTTTCACCTTTCCTTCTATTTTTTTCCCTTGTGAATCTTTGAGGTACTAATGATCCCACTTCACTCAGTTCCATCACTAACTGTACCTGTTACTTCCTCGTCTTTATGCAGACTTTCTCACTGCTCTCTCTTAGCAGCCCAAGACACCATTATGTAGAAGGGACATGCCAGAGCTGAGCCTGGTACAGCCCAGATAGTAACCCACCAATCTTTTTTTCTTCTTTTAGAAGTCTCAGGTGCCTAAGTTTCTCAAGAGAGTACCCAGTCACTCCTCCTTACTTGTAAGTCTGGCCAGGAAACGAAACCTAAGTGCTTGAAGAGTGGATATGTCTAATTTTATGAAATCAACATCATTTGAATTGGGAGGAACCTTGGGATATTATCTGTTCCTATTGTCTATTCCCATCTTCTTAAGGCAAGGTCAACTTTAGGTTCCTCTATGTTGCCTTTGAAGTAAAATGGAGAGAAATGTATTAAGCAAATTACTCACCTGTTGGTTAGAGTTATGTCTAAGTTAGAATGAGAACTGTTGCCTAGTAGTCCATATTTCGCTAGCTGTGACTACTTAAACATAGTTGTGCACATTTCATCAGATGATCTGAGTTTTTGAGAAAATGAAGTGAAATTGTTGGAGATCATCAAGTAAGTATTCTCAGAATATGCATAACATGTAAATGGAATGGAGAACCTCATAAAAGTGAGCTGAGATGTGGTAGCCTGACAACTGGAGCATCCAATTTTCCAGTAAGTGGGAAGGGTTAGGGGTAAGAGTGAGACAGCTGTGTAGAGAAGAGGAACAACACTCATGGAATTGTGGGAAGGGTGCACCACCACTTCCAGTTAGTCCTCCCACCTGTATATTGATAGCCATTAGCAAGGTCTGAACATGTGTCCTTGATCTGTATTTAAGAATCTGGAATGGGCAAATTTACAAAATTTTAAGCAGCACAGAGCCAACAATGCAGCACTGTGTTGTGTAGTTGTATGCCATAATGCTGAGTAGGTCATGCATCCTTGTGAAGCTGTTCCTTGAGAAGTGAATTCAAACACAAAATGAAGTGATATCTGACTAGATATCACAGACAAACAAGGGGGAAGGTGAGAAGAATTATAAAAACTTTTCATCAAATTTTAAAGTAAAAATTGTCATTAAATTCAGAATTAGCACACTGAAATACCATAAAATGAGCCATTTGCGCAAGAAGAGTGTTGATGCTATTATTTTAAATTCATATGGACTCATGGCAATAAAGATATTATAATAGGAGTGTGTACATTAACATATTAACTTATTTCCCCTTCTCTCCAAATTTGAAGACTCTTCATGAGAAAATTGAAATAAATATTTGATGCAGTCTAGTGCTTTAAATTTTGCATAAAATCTTTGGTGGTCCATGGTCACAAAAGGCATTTAAAGGAGGTCTGTGTTGAAGGAAAGGTTGAGAACCCTGTTCTAGAGCCTTTCACAAGGATTTTACACACAGACTATTGAAAAAAAGGTTTTGGTTTCCATTGGAAGAGGCAGCACTGAAGGTAGAGTGCACTTTCTGTTTCATGGCAAAGAATGACACTCCACAGTTGGTTCAGCGGAAAAAAAAAAAAAAAAAAAGTATTATTATTTGTTACTAATTTTTAATATCCATGGTTTAAAACATTAATTTTAAAATTTTCAGTGAGGTCATCTAGTCAAGTAGATATCAGTACTCTTCCTGTTAAAACAACAGAAACTTTTTTTTTTTTTTAATAACTCTGTCTTGTCTATAAGAAAAAAGAAATTATATGCTTAAACATTAAAAAAAAAAACCTGACTTCCTTTAATTTGTTTTAAATGAAACCAATACCTGTAGAGTTAGGTAGAATATATTTCTCTTTAATTTTTATGCATTTCTCACTCACTTTCTCATAATTCAACATTTTTCTTTATTGGGCTTTATGGTTTTCTGATAATAGCTCTATAGAAGTCTGTGGCAAGCCTTATACATAAATACGTGAATAGTTTTAGGACTTCTGAATCAACACTTCCTGCTACTTCTTCCATGAACAAGTTACATATAATTTTTACAGCTGTACTGTGCTAGTACTGCATAAGAAATTGCTAATCACACTGCTGGGCACAAGTTTCTCTGTTAATTTCTCAATATTAGGTTTATCCCAAAAGGCATATCACAGAATCAGGGGTACATTATATGAGTATACACAAAATGAAAACATGCTAAATCTCTAATTTTGTTTTGCTCACTATATAATTTTGTTTTAATCTTCCTTCCAGATAATAACGTGTATTAATGATAAAATTGTTGGGAATTTAGTTGTGTTCTTCCCAGTACTATTATCATAAGATATATAAATGTTTTATTTGTGTTGGGGTTTGTTTTGTTTGTTTATTTGTTTGTTAAGTTTTTTGTTTGTTTGTTTGTTTGTTTTTTTAATATTAACTTCTCAGGCTTAATTTCAACTTTTTTTTTTAAGGAAAAAAAAAATATAAACTATTGGTTTGGGTGTTTTGTTTTTTTTTGTGGTTTGTTTTTGTTTTTGTTTTTAATCTGACATATTCTGTAAAGATTCTAAGCATTCCTTAAGGATGTGAAATAGATGATCTCAGTAAAGACTTTAGGAATGATTCCTATAGTATTTATTATCAATATTGAATTTCTTTTCCAGTTTCAATGGAATGTCAATCTACTTTCTTATAATACCAGTATCAAAGGAATTAGACAGGTTTCAGAATGGACAAGATCATCTTAAAGAGGAGGACAAACTTATCCCAGAATGGAACCCAACCATCCACAAAGTGTGAAGGCAAACCAAAGTAACCCCAAAAGTAGGCCCGAAGGAGGAACTGTAAGATAACAGACAGAGTCTCACTTCAAAGATTATCTGTGTCACAGTCTTGAGTCAGCCTCTCCAGGGAGAGTCCAAGATCTTGTAGATAGTTCTTGTTGGAGAATTCAGCCTATTTAGGAAAGGGAAAGTGTGTGCAGCATGGGAAGTTCTGGGAGACAGGTGTTCCATTTTTGATAAAAAATGTCTTTTTTTAAATAATAGAGACATAAGGGGGCATAGAACACCACCACTTTGAGCAGCCAATAGATGCTGTTAATTTCTATTTTCCACCTGAGGTAACAGTGAATAGATAATGATGTTTTCTTCTCTTTTATTTTTCTGGACTGTTTTATACTTTTTTTAGATGATAAAATGTCAATACAGTTTCCTGGTTTGGCACTTATTAATAGTCTCTCAGGATGTTTCCAGTTTCTAGGTACCCCTGCTGTACTTCAAAGAGACTAGCTGCACTTCTCAAGGATGCTTCTGCTCCCAAGGTCTAGTTCCCAGGCTCACAGCTCCCAGTCTGGCAAGCAATTTCTTTGTCAGTATTTTTCAGCAGATATTTTCTTTTCCTCAATAATTTTCCCTTCTAACCCAGTTGAATTTCTGGATGCTCACATCATAAAGATATGAAATATACTTAATAAAAAATACCAAATTTCCATGAAACTTGATGAAATGATATTAAGTACTGCTTTACAGTCAGGGACACATATCAATTAGGAAATCTGCTTCAAAGCAAGGACTAAAGAGACACATTGCACAGTCTTAATCTTGTATGTCAAAGAAATTTCCATGTGTTCCATATGTTGAGAAAGTTTCTCAATGCCAATTATATTATTTCCTTTTATGACTTTGTACCTAAGAGTCTATATGTAAAAGTCAATTTACATGTAGTGTCATTTTAAAACAGAAGCCCATTAACTGATATTTAGCTGTAAACAACATAAGGATTAGTATCAATGTCATGAAGAATAGCTGTAACTTTCAGAATACTTCTTAAACCATTCCCACAGATTTGTATCAAAAATACATATGCTGAAGCTGGTTTACTTGTTATCCCTAATTGTCCTTTAAATGCTCACATGCCTGCTTCCCTGATGAAGCTAAATATTTGATATGTTATTCACCTATTACTTCCATGAAATGTTGTATCTCAGGTTTAAATACTTGTGAAATCCCTGGATAAGATTTTCAAAGTCACAAATACTGTTTATTTCACTCTGCTGTCTTGCTTTGACAACTCAATAATTTCAAATGACAAACATACCTACTCTTGAAGTCAGAATTTGCTATTGTTAAAATCCTATTTATTTTCCAGTATATGTTGATATTCTCTTCATCATTTTTGTAATAATGGTCCCTACCTTAGAGCATTTTCTTCTTATGATAACTCACATCTTCTTTATTGGTTTTTTTTTTCTATATTTTAGATTTATTTCTGGGGAGTTTTATCATTAAGTGTGTCCATGGATGACATGCTGTCAGAGCAATGTAACATACATCTGTAATTAATTTTTCTTTAACAGATTACCTACATTACTTTGGAGGGAAGATTCTTACAAGGATTCTAGTTAGGTCCTTGACATGAAATCTATTTATTGCAATCTGTATTTGTATGCCTTCCAAGATTGTTGGAAAAAAATAAAATAAAATAGTGTTAATGAAATAGTTTAACAACTCACCCGTACTTACAAGAACACTCTCGCTTCACAAGGAAATCAATGTGATCATCCACAGAATATGCTGCATAATGAATTGAAAGCTAAATACCAGTCATTTCAAACTTAAGTCTTTGAAATATAAAACCAACTTGTTGGTGTGTTTAATATTTAGAAATACTTTATAATTATGATAGAAACATGGTCTACATAACTTTCTCCTATAAAATACACATACACAAAACCCCCAAAACAAGAGAACTGAGAAAGTAAACAATTAAATACAGATATTACTTGTGTTTTACCTGTTCATGGATTTAATATAAATCAATTCAGGGACATGAATTTTGAAACTTCCCACAAAATATGTATCTTAGTTTATAAAACACATATATGGAAAGTTCCATGATTTGGGGACCTACAAGCTTTTTCCCAGCTGTATTCTTTACAGTATTAGAAACTAATTGTGTTGATGAAAATGTAAATGTTACATTGCTTGAGAAAATAAAAAGAATACCATTTCAACATCTTGCTTCATGATATATATGACGTGTTTATAGTACATTAACTGTAATCATTTTACCAGTAAAAAAAAAGTATCAGATATTCATGCTAGATATGTCCATTCATATTACTTTGATATAGCAGAGCAAGACAAATGGAAATAGAGAGAAAATGAAACAAATAAAATATTAAAACATTTTATGTTCATGAAGGAACAATAAGCTAGTCTAAAAAGTGTGGTGGAGTGTGTAATTTCTGATAGTGCTGTACCACCTGAGGATAAGGAAATTTGGTAGGAGAGGTTGACCCACTTCTTCAGGCTGAGGGGAAACTTACAGTCTGAATGCTGATAGATGGTTATGAGCACTCTTGCCAGAAGGTTATTATTTAAAGATGGACAGATGGACACCTTCTCTTAATGTTCTTATTTGTAAAGTCATCTGAGTGAAGCAGGTATGGATAAAATATGCCTAGAAATAATATTCTTTTCTAAGGGCTCTGTGAACATTCCTCCTCATCATGGAGGTTTGGCTCCCTGGGATACCAAATGGAAAGAGGGGCAGCAGTCAGCTGAATATCTCTGTGCTGGACCCATGCCCCAGCAGACAAACGCCCAGAAGGTGAGGATTCAGTCAGGACCCTGACACCAGCCACCCCTCCTCAACAAATATTGTTCTCACATTTTGCACAGATCTAGTCTTGGAGTGGGACCATTCATGTTTTCTGGTTCCCAAGCCAACTCAGAAGTCACCACAGGACATTTCAGGGGCTCTTTAGTTTGGGACCACCACAAAGGAGTCCCCAGTAACCATGGGACAAGCTCAGGTGTCACCAGACAGGTTGGAGGAATTTTCCTATATACATTTCCCCTTAATAAATAAATTGAATACTGAAACTCAAATTGTGCTGGGTTTGAATTTTTGCCTTTAGTTCTTAATAAGAAATAGTGACCTGTACTATAAATTGACAAAATTAATAAACTATTTTTTGTTTTCTTTGGTTTTTGGGTTTGGGTTTTTTTTTTGAGAATGGATTTGATATGATTTTATGTCTCTTAATATTAAGATCAATTTCTTAACAGTACATGCTTACCTTTTAAAAGTATTTAAAAGAACAAGAAACAGTTGTCAAAAATAGGTGCTTGTTTATCCATTACATACTATGTTTTAAAACTATTAAGTTCGCATTCATATTTATCTTGCAAAACAGACACTGATATGGATGATAACAAAAATACATGTCTAATAATATGTATTAATTACACAGTTGAGATCTTTATTAGAGGAGAGGCCATCAAGGAGGTCATGATGGTGGGCATCTGTTACAGACCATGTGATGAAGAGAAGAGCTAAGACCTAAGAAGAGCTAATTGTTTTCTGGACAATTAGAGTCTTATGATAGTAGGCCTGTTATGCTCAAAACATTAGAAACACTAAGTATGATTTAATTATGAGAACCAGCTTTAGAAGCCACGTTTGGAACCAAGTATATCTTGCTATGATGTACAGTTTCAGTTTCTGGTAAAACCAAAGGCCTTGAAAATATGAGCACAGTCAGATAACAGAACATACAACCATAAACCACTCAAGTGTCCATTGCTGGTCTCTGTATAAACGTGACCTCAGGGGATTTTGTTTTTAAAAGGCAAGCAGCAGCAGCTAAGGGAGAACAAAAACATCACCAAGCAACAGAGTAAGTCACCTGTCCTCTCCTGGGAAAGCGACCCTCCCACCCTGAAAACATTCTGCAGTACGTAGTCCAGGATAGAGGTCAAACACTAGGAACCGCTGAGAGATGGAAACATCTGTAGTTGAGGTGGAGGGGAGAATTGATGGAGAAGAAGAAAGAAGACAAGCCTCCTCCACTCCTGGTTTTCTTCATGGAAGAGGTCTCCAGCCTGATCACATTGACCTCACTGACCAAGAATGATCAAAGACCACAGCCATCAATACATAGTATAATCTCTGTGGTCATGTATGCTCACAGCTACTGTAGGATATGTGTGTTAAGGACCAACTGCTTTCAACATTTAGCAATAATTGATAATGAACTAATCACTGGAAATATGTGTTGTTAATGGATGTCAGTCCAGTAAAGTGTTGCTTAACAGTTTGAAAATTGATTGATTTATCAGTCTTCTGAACAGTGCTGGGTTAGCAATTTGCAAGTTTCAGAGATCTGTACGTTTATATATATGTAATCCAGGGTGGAGTCCAAGCACAAAGGAATGTTGAGAGATAGAAACATCGTATGAATATATGTATGCACTCATAAACAGGTGTACATTTTCTGCTGTGATTATTTTCTTTGCTTGAATCTTTGACTGGGTCTTCCCACAAGAAAGTCTGCTTGCTGTGTCTTGTGACAGAGCTTAGGAGAGGTAAGTATCATATGTTCTAGTAAATGACCAAAATATGAATCATTTATGCAAAGTGGGCATATGGGGGTTCACAGAATGGAACAAGATATATCCAAGGATGTACAGGAGGTGACCAAAGCCATCATGATTTTGCTGTCTTCAGCTGTCCTGGAAAGGTTGTGGAGGCAGAGAGAGGGCAGGCATCTGATGCTTGGAAAGAGGCAACGCCTCTTTTGTCTTCAAGCAAGAAAAGATAGAGGACCTTGGAAACTACAGACTGTTGCATTCAAAATTTTGTCATAGGCAAAAAGAAAAATACTAAACATACATGGAAAAAGTATTAGTTAGACTACTTGAAAACTTTACAATATAATTGAAATAGAACATTTATAGTCCTGTTATAATAATACAAAAAGTTTTAGTCCAGAATACTACAGCAATGCCTCATGAATAAAGACAGTTAAAATTGTTACACGACCTCCCTTCCCCCCACAGGTATTTACAGCCCCTCTCTGATATGAGGATTTCTCTGGTTGCTATGACTGGCTCCTCCTGCATCCCCACACAGCCGGTGAGGGCTGCGCTGAGCTGTCAGGGCCATGGCAGGGCTCATCAGGGAGCAGCCTGATCTTCATGGCCAGGGCCCTTCTTCCTCAATCCTGGCTAAAGTTGGTGTCTCTGTGGCTTCCTCGACCCCCACCTGCCGGCTGCCTTCTAGGGGCCCCATGGGGAAGGAGGCAGGTGCCCCACTCCCCGCCATGACACAAAGGGCTGTGGTTGCCCCCATGTATGTGAGTCAGGCCACTGCCCCTGGCTGGTCAGCGGTGCGCCCTGAGGCTGTGGTAGCTGCCGCCAGGCAGTGACAGTCATGGGAGCCAGAGTGGGGGAAACAGCTCCAGCCAGTTCCAACCATCTCCATGCAGTTCACATAGAGTATTTATTTCTAACATTATAAAGCAGAACAGAATTTTTTAAGTGAGGGGTTTTCTGGAAGAAAATCATATGGGGAGAAAAATGGGTAGGAAGGACAAAGGCAGAGGCTAATTAGAAGAATCATTTCTGGTTCCTACCAGACAGGTCATGAGGGGCTCTTGATGTTCTGGGCTTATATAATGACTTAAGATTTATGAGTCAGATTTTGCCCTGAAAATGCTAGCTACAAAATGGTTTTAGAGAAGATTTTTTCCCCTTCTATTTTAAAGTGAGGGTGCTTCAAGCTCAAGAACTGGTTATAATTACACAATACTAAGTACGTAAGTAGTTTTATGAGCAATGGAGCTAATAGTTTCTTATGTCTAAACATCTGTTGGCTGGCTTTTTGTTGTTATTTGTCTTGTTTTGATTTAAGATAATTATAGTAAGATTTCCAGATACTGATATTTACTTAAGACTGTTTTAACAGTGTCATGTACACTGCAGTGTTCAGCAGAACTAGTTGGATTGGAGGGCCAAAAAGTATTCAAAGAAACTTATTCATACACAATTGTTTGTATCTTCTCTAACATCTACTGACTTCAGCCACACTCCTGAGAAGCTAATGCTCTCAGAGAGCTCTGACTCACACCTAGTTCTGCCTGGAGTGAGAAAAAAGTGATTCAGAGATTACTGATGGGGTAAAAAACACAGATAAAAAACCATTCAAATTTGTTTTCCTTGGGAACGTATTTAAGTAAAAAAAAAAAAAAAATCTACTGTCTTTAACATAGTCTGCAGTCAACGATTGCTGGAGAATGCATATATTTTGAATAAACATAATGTATAAGGCCTGTTAGGGCTTAATTCCACGAGGGAAAAAGTATTCTCAAAGAATAGCATCTTGTAACCAATCCCTCTAGGAAATACTTTTATGACATGAGGCTTTACTAAACAGTCTTAAGCACAGGCATACCTGTGCAGAGGCACACTTTTTCACATTTCTTTAGCCAGTTAAACTAATGAAAGCCATAGATCATTATCAATCGATTTAAGATCCTAAATGGCAAGCAGAACTCCACTTTAGATTTCAAATATTAGCAATCATTATAATTAAATAAAACCTTCTAAATAACTATTTAAAAACCTAATTTGAATACTTGGTGATGGTAGGGATTTTATGTATTTGTTGCCATGAGTAATATTCACACTAAATTAGATCTTGGTTTGGAGGTGGGAGAATCAAGATACAAATTGCATGATTAAAAAAAAGTTTGATGAGAAGCAGCAGAGGCAAATGCTTCTTCTATTAGCCATAGTCATGGAATGATTTGATCTAGAAGAGACAGAAATGGTGATGGAACAGATGTTCTCATTCAGAAAAAGAGTTCCTGAAGCTTGGAGAAATTAAAAGCACTGAAATTAGTCTATTCAGTTATTCTATACACTGAAAAATATCCATTTAGCAAACTCTTTCCTTTCCACCCTTCTTCCCTGCCTTCCATTACAAATACCTACAACAGAAGTTTAATTTTAATGAATAAATCATAGCTTTCAGTCAAGTCTGAATCACAGTATCAACCTACTTAAATTTAACACTACTGCTGTTGAGAACCAGCAACCTTTTCCAAAGCCAGAGACAAGATGGATTGTTGAGAAGCTTAATACATTATGCACTTTATCACAGGAAGGGAAATTCTAAGGACAGAAAAAATAGAAGCAGTAGGGGTTTAAAACAGAGTGACAGCATTATTCTACCTGTCAGTGTGTGTCTTCTATATCATCTCCACTGAATATGTTCACATAAAATAGGTGCTCCTCCAGATGTACAGATAAATACTAGATAGGAAGTGTCTTGATGATTAAAATGAAAACCAGGGATATAAACAGCATATATAATAAAAGTACACATTCAAGAATAGGCTGACTCATAACAACAAAACAAAGTGTCAGGTCTTATTTCATTGGATATTCCAACTATTAAGAAAAATGTCATCTTTTCTTGGATATATATTGCTAGCAGAGATAAAACTGGTGGAGCTGTAGAACACAATGCTGATGAATCAGTAAGTTACACTGTTCCTTTTACATCCTTCTTGAAGGCCAATATTGCAGTGCCCTAAATTAAAGTGTTAGATACGCTGCTTGAGAAACAAAAGCCAGTCAGAAATCATCATCTGTAAGAAAAGCCACAAATCATGATTAAGTCTTAAGACACTGGTGCTTGTACTTATCACAATGTTAAGTATTAAATATTTGAATGAATGAAAAATTATATCATTAAAACCATACATTTCTACTTGACTCTTCCACAAGTTGCTGCTAGCTTGCTTTTCCCTCTCAGAGCATGATTTCCTGGCTGGATGTGGCTATTTAAAACAATTTTGATAATATTTTCACACTTGTATTCTAAGCTTTTTCTGGTAAATGCAATGCTTGTGCAGTAGTGTCCAGACTAGGAATGTTCCTTTCTCTAAGGCATATAATTAATTACAGTGACTGAAACTTTAGCAATTTATCTAAGGGTATCTGTTCAATCTTGATGGTTTCATTCTGTCTATATACAACACAGAAGATTAATTTACTGCACCAAACTGGCTTCAGAAGATTTTTTTTATTCAATATTGTGATGCTCCCTTGGAAATGTGAGTAAAATACCCTAGCTAATGATGGATACAGAAGGCATAAAACTCAGACTATTAAGCAAAATACAATTAATTTTATTTTATACTTATCTGAAACTGTCACAGAAAATCACATTTTGTATATAAGACTGAAATGTGTGCAGGTGAACATCGATGTATCTTCTAACTTAGAGGGATCTAGATAAAAAAACAGTTTAACAGATTAAATTATTAGTCAGAATATTCGAATTTAAACTAAAAATATCTGCCTGTGAGACATACTTGTCTGAAGGTAGTAAATTCGTGAAGTTATTATTTTTACATTTATAGTACCATAGTATCTTTAAACATATTTTAAAATTAATATAATACTGTAGTTAATTCATTACATGCTGCTTTCATTTGCTTAAAATACAGAGTATATGTACAGAAAGAATTACTGCCATTTTGTATAAATTAAAATTCCCAAAATAGAAAGAACAAGTTAAAGAAATAATGAGTGTATTTGTAAATTTCATATGGTCAATATTGCAGAAGTGTCCATACTAAACACTATGTTTATAGTTTTGTTCATAATAACGAAGAATTATACAAGTATACATATTGACTAGTATGCATATTTCACTGTTGAAAAAGAAGAAAAAAAAAAAAAACCCAACCCAAAACCAATACACAATTACTGTTAAGAAAGTTTGATATGGCACAGCTTTTGTAGAGAAAGAAAACTTGACAAAAGTAGGTAAATTTAATGGGGTGATGTGATAAATTACTCAAACATGTAACTGACAACAGATGCCTTAATGGAAGCAAAGAAAACCAGTCACCTTTCAGAACAAGGGGGCTGTATTCTGATCCAGAGTGACTTTGAATGGAATTTAGTGATGTTGATTTGGATGAAGCTGAGCGTGATTTCTTATGACACCTCTGTGCAGCAGAATAAAGGTGTGATCCAAAGTTTGCACAGAGTTAGCTTTTTCAGTATCAACAACGATTAAGACATTGATATTTATGAATATACTGAGATAGAGCAAATTCTTCAGGACTCAGGATTTTTTTTTAAATATTCATTGTATGACAGTGGTGATAACCACTTCTTTGGCCAAGACTGGGTCTATGTGCTGTCCTCAAGTATGTGAACAATAGCGGATCCATACTTCTTTACATTTTTCCAGTGATCCAATTGTTTCTGGAATAATCACCACCCATCACAACTTTATTGAATTGGACTCTATGCATTCCTATTCTCTCTGACAGGACAATAGCCAGTCAATACATTTTCTGCTATCTAGATACCACTTGTTTTGTATAATACATACAACGCATCTATACATGTTTCTTATATTTAAGGCTATGTAGGGTTACTCATATGTTTTAAAGTAGGTATGCACTTTATAATTGCTACATCATGACCTTTTAAATGACAAAGAAACAAGGTAGTTAGATGTGTGTGTTCCGTAATTTATTTTCATAAGGATATTCTATACTGGAACATAGATGGCAAAAACTATAGTTTTCTCACAAGGATTAAGAGCCAAGTTATGTAGTAGAATGTATACTCCTATTCATTTTCTTTTTTAATAGTAATTACAATGTGAGAAGCCCAAGCATAGAGTAAAGAAGACATAATGGACCTTAAAAAGTAAGTAAACACGTCAGTCTGGAAAATATTTATAAAATCCGCTGTCAAGAGAAATGATCAGATAAATAAAATAAAAATAAATTCATTACTACCTGAAGAGATGGAATTAATCTTATTGCACTTGCTTTCTTTCTTCCCCAACTTGCTCCTCAAAATTGTAATGCCAGCAAGATTATATGGAGAATGTTTATAAATATATTGTGAAATTATTATACATAGATCATATTCCTCAGCACAAGAAGGAAAGAATTGAGGTCCTAGCATGTGAACATGGCTTAGTAAGAGAGTATGAGGGTTTTTTTGTGAACTCAGATGTGATACAGTAAACAATAGTTTTATTAGTTTTACATGGCAAGGTTTAACTAGCAGATGGGTTATAGGGGTGGCTTCTGTGAGAAGCAGCCAGAAGTTGCCCCCATGTCCAAAAGAGCCAGTTCCAGCAAGCTCCAAGAGAGACCCACTGTTGACCGAAACTGAACAAATCAGCACAGCAGAGCTATTTCTGTGATAACATATTTAAGAAAAGTAAAACCTGCTGTGAAACAGCAGCTGGGAGAGAGGAGTAAAAAATTTGAGAGAAACAATTATGCAGACACCAAGGTCAATAAAGAAGGTGGAGGAAGTATTCCGGGCACTGGAGGAGATTCTCCTGCATCCCATGGTGAAGATCATGGTGACACAGATTGTTGCCCTGCAGCCCATAGAGGTCCATGGTAAAGCAGAGAAATCAGGAGTGAAGTTGAGCTGGGGAAGAAGGGAAGGGTGAGGGAAAGATGTTTTAACTTGTTTTAATTTATATTTCTCATTATCCTACTCCGATTTGATTGGCAAGAAATTAAATTAACCTCCCAAATTGAGTCTGGTTTTACCCAAGATGGTAACTGATGAGTGATCTCCCTGTCCTTATCTTGACCCATGAGCCTTTCATCATATTTTCTCTCCCCTGTCCAGTTGAGAAAGAAGAGTGAGTAGCTTGGTGGGCACCTGGCAGTCAGTCAAGGTCAACCCTACATGCTATGTTATCTATTGACCTTTCCCAGTAGCACAAAATTCATATGGAGCTGCATGCTTTCAAGGAAAATTCAAATTTAATTAACAAAAATCAATACATTGGTGTCATATAAGAGCCTTTTGTGCTGCTATGTTCTTTAGTCTGGGTTTTAAATGGAAAATAAGTGTAATGGAATTCTGAGTGCATTCTTTTGGTGCTCAAGAGCAATATTATATGCTATTGCTGAGTTATGGAGATTTTATGGTATTTTACTCAAGAATAATTTTATTTGTTACCACAATAATAATTTAATACTCCCTCTGGCTATGTAAAGTTTATTTACATTTGAAAATAAATTCATTCTTTTTCCATCTTTATCAAAGTTTTGGATAAAAGATCAGCTTTTGTTTTATTCAGTATATTTTCGTTTAATATTTATTACCTTACTAAAGGTCATGAATTCTAAATATTTATAACAGATTTCATTTATATTAACTTAGCATTCAACATGAAATGTATAGATAATGTCCTGTATAACAGAATGGAGGCAGATCCTCCAGAAACATTTTGTTGCTTGTCTTCTGTTGATGGTCTTGAGAGTTAAGTACTAGCATGCTAAGTGTTGTGACTGAGGCCTCAGAATAATAAATTGAAATTCCCTGTTTAGGTGGTTTGCATCAAAGAATTCAACCCCAGATCTAGCAAGCTAATCTAAAGGGCTCCACACTAGTAAACAGAAGGACTCTCTTCAGGCATAGGCTGATTTTTCTCCATAGCACGTGGTCCTTCTGGCTAGCTAACACTTTTCTAGACAGGTCTTGGAACAGTTGAAGAGCTGCCACCAATACTAACTCTGACAAATAGACAGCATGAATAAGGTCATCCTACTTTTTAAGTTCAATCACAGAGCTCTAAAGCATAGCCTACTACCTGTCTTTAGGGACAGAGAAAGAGCCTGACTGGGTTTTATTTATAGCATAGTTTTAGTCAAGATGATTAAATTTCCAATACATGCTTTACTACTGACTCTGTGTAATGCTTAACAATTAACTTGAAACTAGATCCCTGGGAGAACCAGTCAGTCAAAGGAGTCTAGAGACCTGTTCAGCTGACCAGCTGGACTTGTTCAATTTAGGCAACATACAAGATTTTCTAGACTCTATTGGATATATTGATTATATTTTCTTAGTCTATAATGAATCCTTACTATATGTGTACTTGCTTCTATTCAACCAGAATTTATGAATTCAAAACAGCAGCTGAATCCTACCCAAAGGTCTGTCTGTAGCTGAAGTGTAAAGGCAACTTTCAGAACACATTTCAGTCTGTACTACTGAGATTAGTGTTTAAGATTATTCATCCCAATACATTTTACCCAAATTAATTTCCACTTCCTGATTTCCAGGTGGTCCTTCCTCTCTAGTCAAAACAGAAATATCACTCACCAGTTTACCCTGTTCATTTTACACATGCTTTCCAACAAAATTTGATTATATCAATTCTGTATTTCATAGTAAGGAACAAAATAAGATTTTCTTTCTACTACTTTAGAACTACTAGTAATGTTCAAATCAGATTGACACTAAGAAAACAGGAAAAAAATAGAATTAAAAGTACTTTTCTGAAAAAATAGGGCATTTGATGAGGAATAGCAGGGCACTGTCTATGTGCATGATTAGAATGTTTAGTCTTCAGTTCCTGATCAGGTGAGTCATCAGGCTCAGGAAACTCCCAGAGTCTCTACCTGGATAAGAAAATGGACTAATCTCCATCAAAGTAACTGACTGAATCTATAGGTAGGGATTTTAAACCAGGTAACTGGCTGAACTTCTAGTCCATTTTACAGCAGAGCAACTAGCTAAATGACACCAGAGCTGCTGGGCCAAGAATTTTGAAGTCCCCAAAATACCTTGAGGCAGTTCCTACTCTGTGTACAATAATTAATAAATACAATTTACATGCTTACATATGTTGTTTAACTCCCTCTGAAAAGAAATAGGGTGGTCTTAATCTGGGAAGTTCCTGATGTAGACAAATGGCATTGACCAAGCTATATAGTGGAAGGATAATCTGAAATAGTCAAATAGATATTGTTCCTGCATATGCAGGAATGTTCAAGAACAGTCTTCTGTATACAGTCAAAGTCAGTATGTACAGTTTGCACACAGTTGGTGTACACAGTTTGAGATAATCAAGATCAACAGGTCATGTGTGTGTGGGAGTGCTCACATACGGTCAGGGTCCATCTGGGTTATAAGAGGTCACCAACATATGAGTTCAGTAAGTCTCACCCAAACCAGTCAAAGATGCCTTTGCAAGGAACCTTGTAACAGAGACTCCCATTACCATTCAGATGGCAACTGACCATCCTGTTCAAAAGATTAGATTCCCCACACATGCATTACCCTATGCAAAAGATCCCAATAAATCAGAATTTTTAACTGATGCTTAGGTGACCACCTAAGCAATCAGACCTAGAATCTATATTAACACACTTTGGGGTTTTGTTTACAAGTTTTGGGAAAATAAAGTGTTTTTCAACATGCCAACAAAATTATCAAACTATGAAGACTCTTAATTTATTTTTTTTTTTTTTCACTGAGTATTCATAAATCGTAGAATGCCTCCGATTGGAAGGGATCCATAACTTTCAAGTCCAACTCTCTGCTCCTCACAGCACTACCTAAAATTAAACCATATGTTTAAGAGTATTGTCCAGATGCTCTCCTTGAACTCTGACAGGCTTGGTGCTGTGACCACTTCCCTGGAAAGCCTGTTACAGTGACTAACCACCATCTCAGCAAAGAACCTTCTTCTGATGTCCAGTATGAATTTACCCTGAGGCAGCTTCATTCCATTTCCTCATGTCCTATTGCTGGTCAACACAGAGCAGAGATCATCACCTCCCCCTCTGCTGCCCCCCTTGAGGAAGTTGTAGACTGTGATGAGGTCACCCCTCAGCCTTCTCTTCTCCAAGATGAACAAATGAAGTGTCCTCAGCCGCTCCTTGCAAATCTTGCCCTCAAGACCTTTCACCATCTTGGTTGCCCTCCTCTGGACACACTCTAATAGTTTGATGTCTTTCTTATACTGAGGTACCCAAAACTGCACACAGTACTTGAGTGGGACCAATTTGAACAAGATAGTAGTACAGCATCATCTAATACCTTGTGAAAATAATTTTAGATACTTGTTTTGGTTAGGATATTAAAAAATACAATTAAAAATAAAATCTAAACATGAATGATCACCTACAGCAAATAACACCGTCTCTTTTGTTCAGGTATACGCAAAACTAATTCAGTCTGTGTGTTTGAAAAAGTACATAGTTGACATTTTTATCTCTAGGTTGTAAGTTTGTCATAGTAACTGATACACAGAAGACAGCTACCTTGTCTTTTACATGCTTTAGAGGGAAAAATTCCACAAGATAAACTCAGCCACAGTGCATTCAGCTAGCTTTCAAAATTACATATTTAGAAAAATAAGATTAAGTTTTAAAAGAAATTTTGAAAAGTTGGCTGCAGGGACCAATCAACCTTGTGTTTTATTCAAACATTGTGAGGTTATTCAGGAAGATTCTGGAGTGAAGTACATGGAAAGCTATTTGTGTGTTAGATTATATATAAATGATTCACTTACTAACATACATGACTTTCTAGAGCATCCTCGCCTGGAAAAGCAAATAAGCACATGTAGAAGGATTAAGCATGTAGATATTATATAAAGTGTAAATGAACGGTGGCTGACTGACAGAAAGGCATTTTGAACTCTAAATTTGTAGCTAAACAATGACTCCTTCTAAAATGTTCAGAAATCAGTGGAGTTCTGGAGGAATTTAAAGAAATCAAACACTGTAATTCTTCATTCATGTCAAAACCTCTTACTTATGAGAAAAAAAAAAAAAAAAATTTTTTTGCTTTTGAGATATACCTGAAATATACTGTTTGGTGAAGCAGAGAACAAGCTGGAAAGTGTCACATAAAACAGACTGTACACTTAGGAATAATGAGTTACTCAAAGGATTGTATCAACTTTGTCATTATATGTCTATTAATTTACATTACATGTTCATACACTTAGATTTTTCAGTCACATGGTTTTATATGTCTGAATCTTTTTATCGATTTTGAAAAATTCTACATGTGATCTCCCTCTTTTTTCATGTAGACCAATAATAATAACAACCTTTCTTAAAAGGTCTGTGTAAGTGACCTATATGGCAATTGCAAAACCAGCTAAAAATTGATATTCCAATTGACAATGTCTTAACAAACAAATGCATGGAAGTCAGTGCATTCAAAGGAATTACTTTTGCTCTGAAAATATACTTTATAGATTAATTTAGGTTTCACAGGGTTGCCAGCTGTATTTCTGACTTTTTTTTTTTTTTTTTAATCTTTTAAACAGAAACTGATTTGAGACATAAAAGTATTACATGAACAACAAAATAAAGAAAATTTCCAGTCTTTTATATATCAACTGCACTTGGCAGCAGTATAATAATGTTTCTTCGTGGTCTGTCATAACGAATATATTTGCAAATGTAGGAAATAATATTTATCTCTATAAAGATTACATGTTTAAGATGGAAGGAAAAAAACTATAATAATAATAATAATAATAAATTGCTTCAGAAAAATGAGAAAAAAAAAAAAAGAACAGAAGAACAGCTTGAGAGACTTCTCAATTATCTCTAAATTTCAAGGCAAGAAAGATGACACTTCTGAAAAAATCGCAACAACTTTGTGAAAAGCATAAAGGTAACTCAATTAAAGAAAGTACTAAACTGCTTTTTGGCCACTCTTCTTTCATACATTAAAGTTATGACAAGAAGTAGTAGCTTTGCATTATATTTCAATCGATTATTAAAAAGATAAAATGGCTCTAAGTCACTGAGATTTTATGACATGAAGTAACTTTAAAAGTTGGTTTATCTAAATCAGGAGGCACAATTATTTTAAAGCACATAAATTTATGTTAAAAATATAAGAAAAAAAAAAAAATAAAAACAAACAACAAACCACAGGTCCTGTACTTCTATGTATGCTGTTGCGTTTCTTTGTGCAAACTTCTTTACCAATTACTTTTTGAGTATTAACTGACTTGCATCCTTTCTGCCATGAAACCCTACAATGGTCAAGGAATGAGGTAATTAACTGTGTCTTTATTAAAAAAAAAAAAAAAAAAAAAAAAAAAAAAAAAAAAAAAAAAAAAAAAAAGACATATTAGCTATATAAATGAACACATACATCCAGGAAGAACTGCCTCTGGTTCCGAAGTGCCAATTCTTTCTATCTTAACCTTCATCCTCCTACCAATGTTTGTTCTTTCTTTCAATATGTTTGTGTTATTATAGGGTGATTTGTTCTCAGGACACAGTCTGTGTCATATTTACCTTCACTGTTATTGACATGCAAATCAATGGATAGCTACATCTTTTTACTATTTAATCATAAAAACCAACAATCCTATTTCAGCAAATTGGTTTGTTAGCTCCAAAAAATATATAGCTTTAGTACTTGTGAAAAGTAGGGAACTGAAGGCTTTAGATACTGAGGTTAAAGACTGCCTTCACTGAGAAGGGTATAATAAGATTGAAGACTGTGATGAAAAGCCTCTGCACCGCACTGCCAATGTGTCACACCACTGACTGCAAGTAAAATCAGACAGTCCATGTTCTATGTGTATTTAAACTTTGGCCTCTCTCTTCTAGGAGCTAACAAAAGTGTTAATTGCAGAATCACGGAATCATCTAGGTTGGAAAAGACCTTGAAGATCAGATAGTACAACCATTAACATAACACTGACCATTCTCAACTACACCATATCCCTCAACGCTATGTCAACCTTACTCTCGAAAACTTCCAGGGATGGGGACTCCACCACCTCCCTGGGCAGCACATTCCAAAAGCTAGCAACCCATTTCTGTTGGAAATGCTTCCTAATACCTAGTATAAACCTTCCTTGGCGCAATTTGAGGCCATTACCTCTTGTTCTTGTTTAAAGAGATTCATCCCCAGCTCTCTACAACCCCCTTTCAGGTTGTTCTAGAGGGCGATGAGGTCTCCCCTCAGCCTCCTCTTCTCCAGACTAAACACCCCCAGTTCCCTCAGCCGCTCCCCGTACGACCTGTGCTCCAGACCCTGCACCAGCTCCGTTGCCCTTCTCTGGACACGCTCGAGTCATTCAATGTCCTTTTTGTAGTGAGGGGCCCAAAACTGAACACAGGAATCGAGGGGCGGCCTCACCAGTGCTGAGGACAGGGGTCAGATCCCTTCCCTGTCCCTGCTGGACACGCTATTGCTGACACAAGCCAGGATGCCATTGGCCTTCTTGGCCACCTGGGCACACTGCTGGCTCCTGTTCAGCCAGCTGTCAATCAACCCCCCCAGGTCCCTCTCTGACTGGCAGCTCTCCAGCCACTTCTCCCCAAGCCTGTAGCGCTGCTGGGGGTTCTTGTGGCCCAAGGGCAGCCCCCGGCATTTGGCCTTATGGAAACTCCTCCAGTTGGGCTCAGCCCATGGCTCCAGCCTGTCCAGGTCTCTCTGCAGAGCCTCCCTGCCCTCGAGCACATCAACACTCCCACCCAGCTGGGTGTCATCTGCAAAACTGACTGAGGGTGCACTCGATCCCCTCATCTAGATCATCAATAAAGATGTTAAACAGGAGTGGCCCCAAAACCCAGCCCTGGGGGACACCACTTGTGACCGGCCACCAACTGGATTTAACTCTATTCGCCACAACTCTGGGCCCGGCTATCCAGACAGATTTTTACCCACTGAACTGTGTGCCCATCCAAGCCTCAAGCATCCATTTTTGACAGGAGAATGCAGTGCGAAACAGTATCAAAGTCCTTACTAAAGTCAAGATAAATAACATCCACAGCCTTTCCCTCATCCAATAAGCAGGTCGCCCTGTCATAGAAGATCAGGTTTTTCAGGCAGGACCTGGCTTTCATAAACCCATGCTGACTGGGCCTGAGCATCTGGTTGTCCCTCATGTGTTGTGTGATGGTACTCAGGATGAGCTGCTCCATCAGCTTCCCAGGCACCGGTCAAGCTGACAGGCCTGTAATTTCCCAGATCATCCTTCCGACCCTCCTTATAGATGGGTGTCACATTGTCCAGTTTCCAATCTGTCAAGACCTCCCCTGTCAGCCAGGACTGCTGGTAAATGATGGAAAGCAGCTTGGTGAGCACCCCAGCCAGCTCCTTCAGCACCCTTGAAGGACATCAATAATGGTAGAAACATTCCTTTCTGAGAAACTTGATTGAAATATCTTGCATAAGTTATGTGTTCTATTTGTAAACCTTGATGACATAGGTTCATTGACTTGAACCAGATCCACATGAGCTGCATACTGGGAAAAGCATGTTCCATAATCTTAGGAGCAGCATTTTTATGTTGTTTATCTTCTCTAGTAATTTAGAATCAGTCATAATTCTGAATCTTACTTCTATGCAGATACAGTATCAATAAAAAATAACACAAATAATTGATTTTTATAACTATTTACCCACCATTATCTAATAATTTACAATTATATACCAAAAGTAATATTTTAACTTATTAGCATGTGGAGAAAATAAACCTGTCTGTGTCTCAATAAAGAAAGGATCTGATGACTTCAAGAATTGGAAGAGACTTTATATGAAAGATTACATGATCAATAATAAGTTTTCAGGCCTATAGTAATAAGAGGAGATGAGAGCCAAATACTCTCTTTTAGGAACAGCGACTGGAAGCCAATTGTTATATCTATATTTAAAGATACTATAAATTAACATCTAGAACA